GAGATGAATGTGTTTTACACGATTCAGGAGTGGAGAAAGCTAGAGGTCCATTTTCACACCACACTAAAAGTTAGGACACAGAATACGAGGGACAAGTGATGCCACAACGGCTGAACATAAGATTGGTCATAAAGAGTGTCTTGATTTCACCCTATACTAATTTTAACTCTCTGTTAAGGATGACACTTATCTCTTACGATGCCGGCAACACGTCTGAGAAGATGCTAAGCCAAAGGTTCGAGCTGAAATGATCATGAATACTATGGCAGAGTGCGCAGGATTATATACGTTTCACAAGGTCCTCGTGCTGCCTCGACCAAATTGTAAAAATTAGGTTAAACAAATTAATTTTTTAGGAAAATTGAATTCCATAAATCTATGCCTAGATTTAATTAATGCTCATTAAGCTACCAGTCTATGTGACCAAGGACGAATAAATATCTTATTCAAGATATGCTGATAGTATCAAAATCCAATTACAAACGAATATTTCATTGTACAATAAAATTTTACTGATTTCACTATTTTTTCAATCATTCAGTCTTATTTAAATTCGATTTTATTCATGCTGATACAGAAAGGGCTACAAAAATTATCAATGATCTTTATTCATTTCATACCAATGGATACAGGTAAACCTTGCGGCGCGGTACAAGCATCTCATCTTGAGAACATCAATCAGTCACCCATAGAAGTTAGCGACATAGACTCGGATATAGACGGAGACAGCGAGTATCAAGCAATTATTCTGCTTCCTCCTCCTAATGATGGCAGAATGAGTAGAGAGGGGTCTCGAAACTCTAATATTCGCTCCGGCCATCGTCCACATGCCTTAGATCGGCGAAGCAGTAGCCGAAACGAATCTGCATCAATCAAAAGAAACGGAAAAAGTCCAATTGACCTGACTCCAGAATTATCAAAAGTATCAACTCAAGACCCGAAGCCAAGTAGCTTTGATGGGAAAATGGAGGCAAAAGATAAGCTGAGGACTAACATTAATAGATGGCCAACAGCAACAGGACGGATAGATTTCGCCCCAGAGGTACGTCCATTTTTATTTTTGGTACAAAAGGCAATCTACTATGGGTGAAAAGTATTAAAATAAACTATCTAGATCTAATGGATTTTATCGTAAAATATCTTAGTCGACTAAAATATAAGCGAAGCTAAGTTGGATATAAAGGAATCAA